ACGCGAACGCCATTAATCAAACGCGTGCGTTCAAATTGCGCCGTGAACTCCGCCAGACTGAAATATTGACGTCTGCTGATATGAATATTTCCCTGTTTGCGCCTGTTTTAAAAGCGGCGCGCTTCCCTGCGTGTTTACATGTTTCTCCCCGGCCTGCATGTCTGTTTACCCCGGTGTCAAAACCTGTGTGGCATGTACTTACAAGGCGCTTCATCATCCCACCAGCGATAGGAGCAATTCACCCATAAAGTGGGTCTTTCGCCCATAAATAATATTCAAGTCCCTCTATTGTTAAGTGAAAAGTTGACTGGTGTTTGATTTTTTTCTTATTTTTTTTTCTTCTTCTTCTTTTCCGCGGCGACCTCGGGTTAGGACTCATACATCACGGGATGACAGCTATAGAAAGGCCCTAAATTAGCAACTAAATCGAATATTGATCAGCTATGTGCGGCCCTGCGAGTCGCGCCTCCTTGCCGTTTTTTTTCCAGAGAGAAAGAGAGAGGGAGTTGGGGGTGTGGAGGAGGGGGGCGAAAACGAGAGATAGAGGGGAGACGGAGGAGGAGAGGAGGAGAGGGGGGGGTGAAAGGTGCATCACTCCTCTCTTTCTCCTCTCTGTTTGAGTTAAAGTGTTGTGTGCATTTTATTGTCCATCGCTAGAGCAAAAGCATATTTCCTGAAATTGTTATTATTATTATTATTATTTATACATTCGTACGCCTGTTTTGTTTGTTTTATAAGCTGCGAGTCTACAGTGACACTAGTCTTTATATTTATTTATACATATGTATTTAAATTTAGCCAAATATAGCTTCTTATTGTTATATAAAGTTCAAATAAAGTCCCTCATTACCCGCTCGCCTATTGGCTCCTGTGTATGGATCATTGACTATGTTGCATCGACCCCCCACCCCCTTATCCCCGCTGCTGGGACGTGTGGGAGGACGGCGGCGCGCACTTGCGCTTAAGCGGGGACGCATTTGATGAAACGATCAAGCGGGCTCTTTTGTCTCTCCTGGGAAGCTTGTGTGTCCGGGGCGGCGATGAGCCAGGCACAATGCTGGGGGGGAGTGGGTGGTCAAGGTTGCGCCGGGTCAGTGAGATTACCCCCGGCGTGCTGTGTAACAAAGGGCCTGATCGTCAGGTACCTCAAAGTTCGGATCAAAGTACTGGTTGTAAAACAAGGCTGCCATAAGACAGGGATGAGCTGTGGATTATAGGGGGCTAATTGGAGAGGGTACTTTCCCTTTGCTGGTACTCTTACATGGATCAGGGTTCCTTAATTGTAGATGTTTCTTTTCCTTTTGCAAAGATTTTGAATAAGGGTCCGGAAATATGCTGCATTTCGCAGCATAAGCGTTTGGTGATTTGCAGGCAGTTGTGGACGAAGTGCTGAAACTCTTTAGTGGCATTACCACGTCGTAAAATGCTCTGTTGAGTGAAAATGTATCTAAAATGATATTTAATATACCTGGATTCGTTTTTTTGAACAGATTTTGTTTTTTAATTCTCTCGTTTTACTGCGATTTGTCTTGTTACAGTGGCATCACTCTGTCTGACACGCGATCATTCAATCGTCGCTCTCCTGTATTTAGTTCGCCTCTGTCTATAAATGACACAACTTCAGTACTGTGATTACCTCACCAAGGTCAGCACTTATCGGTGTTTTTCGCTTCGCTGTCCACGGTGCTGAATTTGCCGACCCCACCGTGAACATAAAGTTTGCTGTCCGAGGTGCTGAAACCACCGCAGCGCACACTCTTCAGTTCAAACTCTCGCCTTCTTTTCTTCTTTTAGCCACTTCTTGAGTTCGACGCAGATGAAGAATGCCAGTTTATCTTCCCAGGTCTTTTTTTAATAACAAAAAAAGGTTAGACTAAAACAACCAATAAATACCCATCTGTAACCAAGTAACCGGAAACCACATCTCACCCTGAAGAGGTCAACATCATTTAACTCCAAGCTTCTCTAGCTTTGTCATATCAGCGACCCATGAAACAAGACATGCTTCCTGCTGAAATCTGTCATGCTGCAGTTCATATCCGCGGGGATGCAGTGGTGAAATAAAAACTGGTAAACTTAACCTGACAGAGTGGCTTATCATTCCCAGTCTAAGACAAAATATTATATATATTATATAATATTAATATAGCTACCTCTGTTTGTCTTTTTCCCAGATTTTATGAGTTGGGAAAATGTTGTGTAGGTGCTTCCACTACAGCTCTGCATATCACTGTTTGTAGTCTAAACAACAATGGTGTTCTATTAGGTTAGATGATAAGGTAAAGGGAGTAAGATAACAGTGAACTGAATCTGCTTTAAGAGCTCACTGCGTGGCAACATAATCACATTGAACTATTATTAAGTATCCTAATGGAGCGGGAAGATGGAGAGCTACAGAGAGAGAGAGAAACGAGAAGTTAAGTTTGTCTGAGAGACATCGCGCTCCCTCCCTCCTTCACGCGCCTCGGGGGCTAGTCGCAGCTCCTCTGAAGTCTGCTCGAGGACATTCCGGGAACCATCTGTTTCCGGGAGAGCGCCGGGCGCGAGGCATACAGGAAGCGAGGCTCACAAATTTGCAAGGAAAGGGTGGTTGTCTGCCAATGTGCTTGTTGAGAAATACCCCTCCCCTTGAATTCTTATCAGTCTTGTTATAAACCTAACAGGAGCAATGAAGTGCTGCAGAACAGAGCATCGGCCTAATAACTCTGCAGGAGGAGAGAGGGTGAAAGCACAGTGCAGTATATTACAGAGTAGATGACTGCATACAGTTGCGAGCAACTAACCTGTTAATGGCAGTTTGGCCTGGTCCAAGCAAACACAGAACAGGTGTTAGGGCAAATCCTAGGTTGCTAACAATATTGTACATGGGCATAAATACACTTCAAATGAAGTCCCCTCATTTGCAACATCCAGTCAATCAATGCAAGAAACATATGATCCATGTTTCTGCTCTGCGGATCTGCTTACGCACACACGGAGAGTACTGTCAGCAGCACGATGACCAATAACATGCTTGTTTCAGCATACAGCAATAAAGCCTTTGTGTCCTCATCTCTTTTGCATTCTGTTGCTGGATTTGGGGCTAATCCAGGAAAATTTGCTGGTTCTCTCTTCAGGAGGCAAGTTTTTTTCTACTCGGGTTGATTGTGCCCTGCAGAAGTGTCACCTGAGACCAAAGTAACCTACAGACACTTTAACAGTGAGTGGAAAGTGTTAACAGGTCTGTAGCCTAAGGTCAAAGCGTGCAGTGCCTATTAATGTATATTCAACAGAACACATTATTCCTATGTGATGTGCTGCGAATGGATTTCATTGTTGTATTTGCTGCTTTTTTAATTAAATAATTCAAATTACCACATACAGAATTCACACAGTGCTCTTGTTTTAAACTGTACAGATTTTTTTAAGCAGAATTAGGAAAAAAACCCCACGAAAATTAGACCTCTCTTTAAACCTATAAATGACAGGGTTTTGATAAAACAGTGCAAACTTATAATAAAACAGACTTTAAATACACACAACCTGTAAATAAGTTAATCACAATTACAAATGCTGCAACAATCATTGCAGGTACCATGCCAATTAGCAGATATCCTCAGCCAAAAACAGGTCTGGCAATTAACGCTTTGATCTGTGAGTTTTCAAAGAAACAGAAGCTAACAGAAAAGTCAGGCTATCTGTGAAAAAAAAAAAAAGCATTTCAGTCAACAAAACTGCAAAATGATTTCACCGCTTCAGAAACAACTTAAAATCTGGACAAATAGCATCAAATAATTACTTATTCAACAAAGGGATGTGATGAATATATTTATATAGACCTAGCAGACACCGCAGATGGTTATGTATCCTAAAGTAGCATACCTTTTCAATGCTAAATCTTGAGTAGTAAATTGGTGGTTGTTTTTCTCACCTCTACATTTGTTCACAAGTGTAATCTATGTTTTTTTTTTCTTGGCCAGATTGCAGAGGCTCAGAGAAGAATGTTACACATTTGGAGAGTGATATTGATTAATGAGAACCTTGTTGTCACACACAGAGGATACGGGAGACTGATCACTAAAGATCAAAACAAAGAAGAGAGCCAGGTAAGAGCAAACAACCAGGAACAATAAGTACAACTGACAATGGTAGACACGGTGTTGTTAGCAGAACATGACTGGAGAGACAAAGAAAAAGAGGAAAGAGACACTAAAAAAAAAAAAAAGAAAAGAAAATCTCAGAAAGTGAATCTGAGTAGCACCTGGAGGAGAAGGATAGAAGTCGTATATAGAGAGGGAAAGAGGTAGGAAAGAATGAATGAGGGATAATTGCATTAGAAAGAAGAGAGGGCCAAAAGGAAGGAAATGATTAGAGGAGAAGGGACTGATATCCGATAGAAAGAAGGAGCATGAAGGAGAGAATGGGCGGGAGAGGAGGGCTCACTTACCGCCCGCCGTTCGATACATGCTGACACTCTCTCTGTGTGTCAATACACACTGTATGTGTGCGTGCTGGTATAGGTCTGTTAATCCTAGTCTAGCATCCTATCTCATCGCTGTCCCATCCAGACTCTCCAAGAACCTTCATGTCAGCCTTGCTTGATCCCTGCTCTTCAGTTCCCATTCAAACTTCCATATTGCCACCTTGAATTTAAAGAAAAGACCTGGCAAAACAAAATTTTCATCATTTGTTACCTCCTGCTCAAATCTTTTTGGCAATAAAATTAGTCAAATCACAACATTTTACTACAGTCTGAACCATTACTAAATACTGTCTTGTTTGGTCTTGACACCTGCTTTGAGCTTTGAGCTTACATTTCATTATTTTACCATCTCTACTTCATGTTTCTCTTTCTTCCTCTGTCTGCCATCTTCCCATTTGTTTCTTTTGTCTTTCACCTTTTATGTCTTTTGCTTCAGCTGTATTATCTCAGTGCATATCTTGTGCCTCCCTATCTATGAACCTTCTTCCCCTCCTATCCCCTCAGCTTTCTCTCTCCTTTCTGTGTTCCCTCTTTCCAGGCGGCCTACCTTTTGTCATTGACCCCCTGCCCCGGGTGTCTGGGCATTGACTGGCTCTCTCCGTGTCACTGGAGCTCCCTGTCAATACTTACCAGGTTTGGCCACCCTCTGCGCTGTGGTCAGAGAGTCGGGGAGAGAGGGAGATACACGAGATGCTCCACAGCACCGGGAGATAAAACAAAAATGAATGTGAGGGAGAGTAAAACAAAGAGCGATGGCGAAGAAAATGACAGAGTGAGGCTGTGTGTGAAACACCTGGTCAGCAACCTTATAAGGCTGTTACACTTTGGTGGCAAACTGTAACTCTACATCTTCTTACCCTGCTGCAGATTATGTCTGGCACATAAAAACAAAATGAAGAAATATGACATCGACCATTTTTAAAATAATTAAAACGGCAATTAACTTAGCCAGTTTATGGGCAGACAGCTGCATTTAGTCAATATTTATTTTAAAATTACTGTTACAAGTCAAACAGCTGTTATATTGCTTATTAATGATTGGTTAAATGATTGGATTCATATTGGCTAGCCTGTATTTTTGCTCACGCAAACTACAGTTAGCTTAGATTCAAATAGTCACTGACGCAAATAATCCCCCACCCCCTGTTCATGTTTCTTAAATATGAAAATACCTTAAATATGACATATTTTTTGTGATGTAGCCTCGTGGAAATAAATCCGTACTGGTAAATTGGCTAAATGTAATTTAAACTTCAAGTATATCTGAAGAATTTAAACATATATTTTGATTAAGATAAAAATCTTGGAGTAATACATTCTAACAATCCAAATGTCCAAGGTCAGTCAGAAAAAAATAAATAAGAACTGTAAAATATTTGTCAACGTTTGGAAATTCTGTTGTGATTGGTGGACAAACCAAAGTAAAACACACCCAAACAGAAGAAACCAATACTGAGAATAAGTGAAAGGCAAACATAATGATTGCTGGTAATAAGTATTTATTGTTCACACTGATTCGACACACATTCATGGTGTACGCTGAGGTAAACAATGATATGTATCCGCTATGAGGTATCCCAAATCATGGTTTGCGGTTGTCATTGTAGATTCATAAAGTATCGTTCATAAACTATGTGGGCGTCACTCCCTGTTTTACAGTCTACTCCATCTGCAACACGCTCGGCCTCCCATTCCCTCTTCCCCTCTTTCCTCTTTACTCTTTTCATTTCCTCTAATCTCTCGCTCCCCCTTGCTCTACCTCCATGTCACTTTGATTTCCCTATCCACTGGCCTGTGGCGTGTGTGTGTGAGTGAGTGAGTGAGAGAGGAAGGAAAGAGTGTGCATGTGTATTGTGTGTTAAGAGAGCAAGACTTAATTGTGTAAAGCAGTTTCACAATTGTAAGTGAATCAGTGGATGTGTCCTTTAGCACATCAGTAGACGTGGCATTGGAATTACATGGAAAGTCTTGTGTAATCCATGTACCCCAGAAACACACACGCTCGCGTTTTTATTTTGCTTGCAGATGTCCCAAAACATTTTCTGCTTTGTTTAAAAAGAGTTGATATTGATATCAGCGAGAGAGCTTTTCATGAATACATATGTGTATGTCTCCATATATATATATATATATATATATATGCATGTCTGCGAGTCCATCCGTGCATATGCGATTGTGTCGTGCATATGTCTGTGTTTACCAACGTTCGTGTGTAAATGCAGGAGTAAATCTGTGTGTTTTCGTACTTGTGTGCATGCGTGTGTGTGTGCGCACAGATGCCCCCGCGTCTGGGCTCAAGCCTGGATGGGCCTGTGTATATGAGAGTAGACAGTGTGCGCGAGGAGAGCAGGGGAGTGAGAAGGACGTAGCGGCAGTTGGGGGGGGGGGAGAGGCAGGCCAGGCCGAGGGGCCCCCCTCTCGTAGACAGTTTGACTGATGACATGCATTAAACAGTTAATCTGTCTGATTGAATGTTTGCTTCCTCCAAATTGAAACATTAAACAACAAGGCGAGAGAGAGAGGGAGGGGAGAGCCCGAAGAGGAGAGAGGGATATGGCTTCATCTATTGCCCAAATCATGCAAAGCATGAGACTGGAATATATAATACTGTCCTGTGAGCTAGAGAGGGGGGGATGCAAGGGGAGGAGAGAGATTGGAAGGGACAGAGCGAGGAGTGTGAATGAGAGAAAGAAAAAACGAGTGAGGGAGAGAGATGAGAATGGAAAGGTTCAGGGTAGGTGGATGGGATCGGGGGGGAAGATGGGTGAGATGCAGAGGATGCAGCAGAATAGGCCCATAGAGAGGAGGAGGCTCTGTAAAATAAAAGTTTTATTTATCCTATAGCTCAATGGAAATGCACAGATTAAATTGTATCTTTAAAGGGATCATATCTCTATTTTAAACAAGAAAACACTTTAACAATTAGGACAGTTTTGTCTCTTTGGAAACTTCTTTAGTGAAAACAAACTTTTGGGCACTTCCATTTATTTATTTGTCAAAAATGCCTTGTTGTCTGGCTTGTCTGCCTGGTTCCAGGCAGGAGACTTTGAAGCAGTTGTTGTCTGGTTTTACTTCCTGGGTTCATGACCCTCGAGCATCTTAAAAGCTCCTTATGTTATCAGCGCTCTCCCGGTGGAACGGACACAAAGTAAGGTGCTGCTTTTCAAACAACATAATGTGATCATCGATTACATCCATCTTTGGGTAATTTCCTCAGTATTTCTGATACTGGCAGGATTTGTCTTTAGTGAGAGAAATGTACAGTAAAGTAGAAAATTGCTCTAAAGTAGACCAATTATATTCACACTTTTTTTTTCATAAGTCATTTTATGGATCAAAGATGCTGTGCTTTTATTTTTTATAGCACATCAGATGATTTCATGGGCAGAAGAATAGAAGAACACTAAAAGACAGACATAAACGAGACATTAGCTTTGAACAGAGCTGTTGCCACAGAAATGCTGCTACTAGATTGGGAGAAATTGGGTGACCCCTAGCAGGTAATGTGATATGTCATTTAGCCTTAGCCTGACCCTGTCCCCTCCCAGGGTTCACCATCATCACCATGTTCCAAATGGGCTTCCCTTCCCTTTGTCTCAAGTGCATATTCTCCTCTGTCAAAATGACCCTCATTTTCTCCAACAGCTGATTTTGGTCCAGCTCTAAGACTGTGGTATAATTGCACAAACACACACCTTGTGTCTTGATGAGCACATGAGCTTAAAGCCACTTTTCCACCCAACAGCCAGCACCCAGAGAGAAGGGGGGGAAAAAAACAGGGAAAGATGAAAACATTAATAGATAGGTTGCAGGATGGACGGATAAATTGATAGATCTTTTAGAGAAGGTCAAACTTCTGTGCCCACACGCGGGACCATCATGAAGAGAAGAGAAATTGATTGCCGCTCACAAAGGCACTAAAATGACTAGAGAAATTATTTTCTGGGCAATGAACATTCTAGGAGGTATGGTGGTGGTGGTGGGGGGG